CAGAGCCGGACCCTCTCTGTGTCTGGACATTGTCTCTTTGCTACACTCATGCAAAGACACAGCCAGGCTGTGGATAATTCTCCTCCTGTGGTTGCTGTCATCGTGAAATGAGCTGGCTGGCAGTCTCTGGCCTATTATTAAATTAGCCTTTACTTTTTTTTTTTGAGCTTTGCATGAGCCGTTTTCATTGCTTTGAGGCATACAAATAGTGATGTGCGTCCAGAGCCCAGCCACATGGCTTGGATTCGCTAGCTGTTTGCTCCTCTGTCGGCTGTCCTGCGAGAGGACAGTGGCGGGTGTGCTTTTATTTTCTTTTTCTTTTTGATTTTGGGGCTTGAACTCAGGCCCTGGGCACTAGCCCAGGCTTTTTGAGCTTTTTGCTCAAGGCTAGTGCTCTGCCGCTTTGAGCCACAGCTCCACTGCCAGTTTTCTGGTGGTTATTTGGAGGTAAGAGTCTTACAGAGTTTCACGCTCGGGCTGGATTTGACTGTGATCCTCACATCTCAGCCTCCTGAGTAGCTGGATTCTAGGTGTGAGCCACTGGTCCTGATTTGATCTTTTCTTTTCGATGTATGATCTTGGGGCTGGGGTTGTAGCTCAGAAATGTAGATTGTTTGCCTAGTGTGTCTTGGCCCTGGCTTTGATTCCCAGCACTGTAAAAATAAGTTAAAAAAATAAGAAAATAAGATTTCAATAAGTGTAGTTACTTTATTTTGTGAAAACTAAAAGAGGCACGCCTGTAATTCTGCTACTTGGGAGGTAGAGGCAGGAGGCTCTCAAGGTCAAGACCAGCCTGAGCAGAGTTATCCAAAATGAAGATAAAAACTAAAAAGGAAGTGCTTCCAGCTTCCCTGCCCACTTACCTCCTTACCTTCCAAGCCCTGCATCGTTTCTTATGGTGTGGCTCAAGTGGTAGAGTGCTTACCTAGTACGTGTGAGGCCCTGGATTTAATTCCAAGTGTGCCCCCAAAATTACTAGGACGATCCAAGGTTGGGGGGAGATCAAAGGATTATGGTTTGAGGCCAGCCTGGGCAAGAGTAAAAAGTGGACAAGACCCCCATCTTAGTTTGGTGTTGATGGCATGCGCCTATCATTCCAATCATGCAGGGAAGCACACAAATAGGAGGATCACAGTCCAGGTTGGCCTGGGGCATAAAACAGACCCTATCTAAAAAACTAAGCAGCCCAAAAATGCCTGGAGGCTTGTCTCAGTGGTGGAATATCTGTCTAGCAAGGGCAAGGCCCTGACTCAAATCCCAGTGGTGGCCCCCCACGTAAATACATAAAGAGGAAGTCGCATCAGCCTGTGCCCAAGTATGGGCTTATTTTCTCAGAAGTGGATTGGCACCCGAGACACCCAGAGTTTAAGCGCTCTGTGGCCCTGCACAGTGCCTGGCAGCCGGAAGGGGCTGGAAACCAGCCCAGCTCCTCTGTTGGACTCCAGAAGTGCTCAGCAGGCTGGGGCTGGCTTCTGAACACAGGGCTTCAGAACACCCCTGGCAGGCTGGGTGTGGCAAACCTGCTATTAACTGCTGCCATGGGTAGCTGGGTTTGGGAGCCGTGCACCAGCTGCCTTGATGCATGTTTTCCTGCTTTCTGGTACCAGGGAAGCCTGCCCTCCTGGTTGTCCCTGCTTCACAGATGTACAGGGCCTCTCACTTCCCCGGTCCTGCAACCGCTGGCTCAGGGCGGTCTCAAGATCCCTGCTGGCTTCTGTGGCGGGGCTGTGGGGCAGGTTGTTGGGCCTGAGTGACTAGTCCAGAGACCCTTCTGCCAGGGTGTGCGGGTCACGTGTCTCCCTGTTCCCTCCATCTATCTTCCAGGAACCAGGTCAGCCACTCACCCATCCGTCTGTCCATCCACATTGATGGTCTTGTCTATTCAGACTATTTGTCACACATTCATTCATGTACCCACTCACCATCCACTCATTCCTCCCTTACTCTACCCACCCAACCTTCCTACTTGCCATCTATCCATCTTCCATTATGTCCTGTCATCTGTCTGTCCGTCCATCCATCCATCCATCCACCCATCCACCCATCCATTCTTTCATCCTGCCTGCTTGCCTGCCTGCCATTCATCCATCCATCCATCTTGCCATCACCCATCATCCATCCATCCGTCAGTCTACCACCCATGGTGTCCATCTGCCCATCCAGCCATCTTGCTATCATCTGTCCATCCAGCCTGCCACCCATTTATCCATTCATCCTGCCACCCATCCATCCATCCTGCCACCCATCATCCATCTATCCATTCTGCCATCCGTCCATCCTGCATGCCATCCATCAATTTATCCATCTCTTCATCCATTTTCTTTTTTTTTCGAATTCTTTATTGTGATTAAGTGGTTACATAATTTCCCAACTTTTACAGTATTGTGGGATAGTGATGCTTAGTTAAAGTCACAAACACATTCTGACTTTCATGGAGCAAATTGTCTATCATGGTCTATAACATTTGTGAGTTCTATGAGCTTTGCAATAGTTATTTCTTCCACATTGGGTGATATGTACATTTCTTTTGTTTTGCATAGCGTCAGCTGTTCCCTCTTTCCCACTGGTTCCCTCCCTCCCATCGCTGCCATTGAGTTGCTTAGTTCATTTTGGTCAATGTCCAGTGCAGCTGATGGGTCCCGCTGTTGTATGTTTTCCCCTGATTCCCTCTAGTTCTGTGTCGTCCTCCTGGTTTCCCTCTGGTGTGCACATATATGTGGTCTCCGTCCATTTTCAAATATATCCATCCTGCCATCCAGTCATCCACCCATAGTGTCCATTTGCCCGTCCATCCATCCACCTTCCCATCAGGCTATTTCCAGGGCCTAAGACACAGCATCAGAAAAACCAAGTCCTGCTGCTGTGGAGCTGACGTTGACCAAGAACACTGCAGGTCAGACGCTGGGGCCACCACTGCATTCAGTGTGCTGTTGGTCTGAGGGGAGGTATGCCTTGTGAGCCAGTGAGAGCTTGGAATCATGGGAGAGCTGTGTGTTAGCCACAATTGTAACTACACGGTCTGTGGGCTGTACGGCAAGGGGTGCAATGAAAACAGTGAGGAGCTGCACGGATCTCCTGCAGGTGACGGACGTGGCCTCCATGCGGGGCTCAGAGGACAGACACTGAGTAGAACTGCAGGAAGCGAGGGCATGTACTCTGCCATGAGAGTGGGGCTTTGGCTGGCCTTGGCTTCACTCTGCAGGCACAGTCCCGATGCTAGACCTCACTGGAGGCTGAGCTGCACGGCACGGTCCATTTTGGCTCAGGAAGTTTCCAGGTCCTTGCTTGGCTTACCCTTGGCCTGCTCCTGCTTGTCTGCCTCTCACGGTGGAGGCGTGGCACCGTGGCCCAGGACCCTCTGCAGTGCTTTTCTACTTCCCTGGGATCCTCCGGCTGCCCAGTGATGGGGTCCTCCTCTAGCTGCCCAGTGGGGGCCGGTCCAGCGGACCCGTGACTGGCCTCCATGCCTGCCTCGTCCCTGCTGTCCCCTGCGAGCCTCCTGCCATTCGCCCTCCTGGCTGATTCCCCTTGCGACCCTTTGGTCTGCTTGTGTTCACTTGCTCTCTAGGTCTGAGCTATCCCTACCCACCCAAACATGGTTCAGCCTCTTCACCTCCCCCCAGTCCCCATTACCTGCCCCCCCCCACGACATGTCAAACTTCTGAGAGTCCCAGGAGAGCAAAGCAACGACTCTGATATCTCCTGACCCAGGCTGGGTTGGAGCCGAGTCATTTCTCAGCCAAGGCCGGGCAATGTGAGAAGAGGCTGGAGAGGTACAGCCCTGGAGTCACAGCTACACAAAATGTCACTGGGACTGAGCTGGGAAGTCTCCCTCCCTCCCTCCCTCCCTCCGTGCTCTACCTCACTTCCTCAGTACTGGGCCTTGATCTTGGTGTCTGTGCTCTCACTTGGCTTTTTCTCTGCATGCTAGCAGTGCTCTGCCAGGCTCTGCCAATTGAGCCACAGCTGAGAGTCTCATGGACTTTCCTGCCCAGGCTGGCTTCAAACTGCGATCCTCAGATCTCAGCCTCCTGAGTAGCTAGGATGACAGGCGTGAGCCACTGGTGCCCGGCTTCTCAATATTTTTTGCTGGGGTTTTATTGTTGTTTTCATACATACATATACAGTCCTGTATTTTTCTAGTATTCACATCTCTCTTCTCCCAGCCCCTACCAGTGCCCCCACATAGACAGACCCCCATTTACAATCATGCCTCAGGGTAATTTTTTTTAAGTCTGGATTCTACATCTGAGTGAAAAAGCACACGAGATTTGTCTTTCTGAATCTGGCTTCTCCTGCTTCACACGGTGATCTCCAGATCCATCCATTTTCCTGCAAATGACACACTTTCATTCTTCTTTATGGCTGAATAATACTCCACTGCGTGAGTGTATCACGTTCTCTTTCTCTAGTCTTCGGTTGGGGTCCCTCGGCTGCTTCTCTGTCATGTGCCGCCATCAGCCTGGGTGTCCGGCTGTCTGTGGTAGCTCTGTGTTTCGACTCTTGGCGACTCTGCATGATCTGCACAGTCGCTGTTGATGGACACAGCCCTCCGTGGTTACAGATGTGCCCTCAACATCGCATAGGTGGGGTGGTACACTGTTTGGGATTTGTTTTAAAAATAACTCAGCAAAACCAAAAAGCATTTGAAAGGGAGAAAGGAGGCATTGCTCTACCACTTGAGCCACACCTCAGGCCTGTTTTGTTTTAGTGATTTGGGGGTTAGGGTCTTGAACATGGCCTGGGGGTGGGCCTCCCTGTAGTCTTCCTGCAACTTTCTGTAGAGCTGGGATTGTAGGTATAGTCGACCACAGCAGGTTTGTTGGTTGAGATGGAGTCTAACTGATGTTTTTTTTTTCCTGTAATTTTTCCCTGGTCTAGCCTTGAACCATGATCCCCCCACTCTCTACCTCCAGAGTAGCTGGGGTTCCAGGTACCACACCCAGCCCTCAGTGCCCCTACCTTGCTTTAAAGAGTTTTGGACATTCTTGGTATTAAAGATGACAGCTGCCCCTCCGTGCTTTCCTCCACTGACCCGGCTCCTGTGCTTCACCTTTCAGAGTGACCGGCTCCTCATCAAAGGCGGCCGCATCGTCAACGATGACCAGTCCTTCTACGCCGACGTCTACCTGGAAGATGGCCTCATAAAGTGGGTGAACTCGAACTCAGCGTCTCTGGGCTGCCTGGCCTTTCTGGGCATGGGAGGCTGGTGCTCTGCCTGGGGTGATGGTGCTGTGTTGCTGTGTTTGAGAGGCTCAGAGTGGGAGGGGGCCACATAGCGGGTGGGGGTGATGGGCGTTTCCTGAGGCCTCCGTGACCCCGCGACCTGCCACGTGTCGGTGCTGGCTGTGAGGTGCCAGGCTCCCTGCCTTCGTGCGCGGGAAGCTGCAGCCGGTGAGGTTCAGGGCCTCCCCAAGGCCCAGAGAGAGAGTCAGGGAGGCAGGGCCCCGTTCCACCCACAGCACCGCGGCCCCCAGCTCTGTCTCCGTCCTGAGCCCTGGTTCCGGGACGGGCAGGGCACCGCGGCTCACTGTCTCACTGTCTGTGAGGCCTGTCTCCGGCTTCAGCCCTGCTCATGGCGCCCGGGGTGGGGTCTGTTCAGGCTGGCTGCTGTAGCACAGCGCCACAGGCCTGGTTTAACCCACGGAGTCTTCCCCCCACGCGGCGGAAGCTGCGGTCCTGGGTCAGGGCCCCGCCCGGGCTGGCCTCCCCCCCCCCCCCACGGGTGGCGGCCTTCTCCTGTGACCGCAGATGACCTCTCCTTGCTCTGCCCTGCGGGTCCCACCGGCGACCCTGCCACCCCGTTATCTAACCTCCCTCGCACCCCCGAAGGCTTAGCGTCCACGCACGGTCACACGTGGGGCGTTTGGCAGGCATTTGAGGCACCCGCTCGGGTCACCGCGCGGGGGACGGCCTCTCCCGGGCCTCTTGGCTGCATGGAGCGCGGTGGATCTGCGCTCAGCCAGGGAGGGGGCGTGGGGGTGCTGGGGGGAGAACAGAGAGGTTGGTAAAGGGTGAGAATGGCCCCCCCCAGGCGCCCCGGCTGGCTGCCGGCCAGAGCCAGGGTCTGAGCTGCCGCTCGGACCCGACAGGAGGTGACTGCGTGCAGCCCTGCCGCCTCCTCGCCCGGAAGCCTTCCTGCAGGACCGGGCTGGGTAACAGGCTCCCCTCAGCTCCCGAGCCCTTAGGGAGCCTGGTCCGTGGACGCTGGCCACGGCTCTCCCGGGCCCGGCACTGGCCAGTCCTTCCTGTCTCGGGGCTCAGTAGTGTGCTCAGTGGGGCTCAGGTGGCGTGGCGGACTTCCCACTCAGGCCTTCTCTCTCTGTCTTCAGACAAATAGGAGAGAACCTAATTGTTCCGGGCGGTGTAAAGACCATCGAGGCCAATGGGCGGATGGTCATGCCCGGGGGGGTGGACGTCAACACCTCCCTGCAGAAGCCCGCCCAGGGGATGACCGCGGCCGACGACTTCTTCCAGGGGACCCGGGCGGCGCTGGCCGGCGGGACCACGATGATCAGTGAGTGCCCCGCCCCCGCCACGGCTCCCTCAGTGCCATCCACGCCCCTCGGGAGCTCAGCCTGCATCTGCCGCTAACGTCTTTGTCACCAGCCTGCTGTGCAGCGCGTATTTCACAAAGCGTGTCACCCGGTGCAGCTGGTGGAGCGCTCGGCACGTTAGAGGCTCGTCAGCCCTGCTCTCCTTAACAGTTGTTTCAGTTGTTCTACCAAGGAGCAGTAATGCTGGAAGGGTGTTACTACTAAGAATGAGATTGAAGTTAACATTCAGGTTTTTACAAAAGGAATACATTTCACAAGTATAGGAAGAACAATGTGGATTGCAGGGAGACAAAGGCCAAAAAAAAATCCCTAAGTGTGAAGATGGCTAAAGTTTTAAAGCAACAACATCTGTACCATTACACCTTTTTGTGCATCAGAAGGGCTGTAATGCTGTGACAATGCTACAGGACAGACAGTCCCCGTATTGGTTTGTCTCCCGTTGCTATGACAAAACACCCGAGGCTGAGTCTGTTATAAAGAAGAGGTTTGTTGAGCTTACATCTCTGGCTGTGGAAAGCCTGCGATCCCTTCATCATCTGGTGAGAGCCTCCGGCACTGACCCCCAGCATGGCACATGGCCCCTGCGGGGCACCACGTGAGGTCGCGTGGAGAGAGAGGAGCCAGAGAGGGAGAGAGCCAGCCTCGGCCTTGCTCACAGTCCCCTGCCTTGCAACCAGTCAGGCTCTCTGAGATGTTAGCATCCATGGGGATGCAGCCACGGGCCTAGCCACCTCCCTCCCCCTTGGCCTCACCCCTGCTGGCTCCCACCGCCTCCCAGGATGGCCGCGCCGAGGACAGGACTCCCATGGCTACTGGTTCTAGTAATTATGGCTGTGACGGTGGCTATGGTGCCAGGCTGGTGACACTGGCCGTAGCACGGTGGGAGGGGGGAAACCAGCGGTGGGGGCAGGGTGGGCCGGTTCTTGCCTGTAATCTCAGCTGCTAGGGAGGTAGAGGCAGGAGGATTTCAGCTTGAGGCTAGCCTGGGAGAAGTTAGTGTAAGACCTTGTCTGAAAAAAGAAAATGAACTAAACTCCGGGCGCCGGTGGCTCACACCTGTAATCCTAGCTACTTAGATGCTGAGATCTGAGGATCATGGTTCAAAGCCAGCCCAGGCAGGAAAGTCCCCATAGACTCATAATAAAACTACTCAAAGAGCTGGCGCTGTGGCTCAAGCGCTAGAGTGCTAGTCTTGAGCACAAAGAGGCTCAGGGACAGTGCCTAGGCCCTGAGTTCAAGCCTCAGGACTGGCAAACAACAACAACAAAACACCTAAAAAGTAAAAGGGCTGAGAAGTTGGGTGCACACTTGCCTAGCAAGTTCTTGAGTTCACCAGATCTCTGGTACCACCAAACAAGAAATGGATAGTGATGGAGGTGATGGTGGTGGTGGTGATGATGGTGGTGGTGGTGATGATGGTGATGGTGTTGGTGTTGGTGATTGGGTACAGGTGTGGTCATGCACTGAGCACCCTGGGTCCCCAGTGTCATAGAGCGTCTTTGTCATTGCAGTTGACCACGTTGTTCCCGAGCCCGGGTCCAGCCTGCTGGCTTCCTTCGAGAAGTGGCACGAAGCTGCGGATACGAAGTCCTGCTGTGATTACTCCCTGCACGTGGACATCACGAGCTGGAACGAGGGTGTGCGCGAGGAGCTGGAGGTGCTGGTGCAGGACAAAGGTGGGCCGGAGCCCCGGTCCGCGGCGTGGGCCTTGAGCCCCGGGTCGGGTCCGCGGCGTGGGCCTTGAGCCCTGGGTCGGGTCTGTGGCGTGCAGTCCCCGGTTGGGTCTGCGGCGTGCAGCCCGGGGTCTGGTGCATGGCTTCCAGCCTGGGGTCGGGTCTGTGGCGTGCAGCCCTAGGTCGGGTCTGCGGCATGTAGCCCGGGGGCGGGGCCGCGGTGTGCAGCCCTGGGTCTGGTCCGCGGCGTGGGCCTTGAGCCCTGGGTCTGGCCCGTGGCGTGGACCTTGAGCCCTGGGTCGGGTCCGCAGCGTGGGCCTTGAGCCCTGGGTTGGGTCCGCGGCGTGCAGCCCTGAGTCTGCTCTTCCTGGGAATGCACACAGCTGGGTGTCACTGCCTCCGCAGTTGAAGCAGGGCTCCCCTTCCTGGGAGTCCCTTATCCACTGAGGAGGCCCCGGCTCTGGAGCCTGGCGTGCGAGGCTTTGTGCTCGGCCCCAGGCAGCGCTCCGACCCCTGCCATCCCGCTGCCTGTCTGCGCAGGGAGCCCCTTCTCCGCCTGCCATACCCCGCCACCTTCCCATCAGAACGCCCTCATTTCCTCAATGTCCAGAGCCAGTCCTGCCTCTCTCCTGGAGTTGGGGCCGTTGGTTGTCGGGGTGGCGCTTTCCGGTCCGACGTGGAGTGCTGAGAGGGTTCTCTGTGTCTGTGCCTCAGTGTCCCCGCCTCCTGTGCCCGCGCTCACGCACCAGGCGGCTGCCCTGTGATGTGCGTTGCATTTGGTCTGCGGGCTGAAGAGACAGGACCAGAAGGAACAGGCACGTGGCCCCCTCAGGACCACGCCTGACCAGGAGACGCTCCAGCGGGGCCTTGGAGACGTGCTGGGGCACTTTGGGGTTTGAAAACACACAGCTCGGGCTGGGAAGGTGGCTCAGTGGTAGAGCCCTTGCCCTGCGTGCTCGAGGCCCTGGGTTCGATTCCTCAGCACCACATAAGCAAAAAGAAAAAAGCCGGAAGTGGCGCTGTGGCTCAAGTGGTAGAGCGCTAGCCGCCTTGAGCTG